CCAACTCTATTGCAAACTGCATAATAAATGCCTTACTAGTTTCAATTGTAGTAGTTTGGGTTTTGGTTTTTTGTCTTTCTAACTCAGTTTAGAGAAAAGTTTGAGAGAAGGGTGGCAATAGTCCCTTGGCAATAATCACCACTATTTACACTATTAAATATTTGCAGTATGGAAGAGTAGATAGCCCCGGCTTCTAGAGAACTTCTCTACAATTAAGACGCACACTCTATATTAATACTCCTGTTGTTAAAAGGGACCTTTTCTGCCAATGTAACCTGAATATCCAGAATGAACTTGTGAACTAAAATAAAATTTTAAGACTTCCCCCCACCACCAGCTAACTAAATGGATCCCCTGGTGGCCAAAGGAATATCCTAAAACTAAATTGCCTGCCAGGAGGAAGGAGGTCAGACATGCCTTATCATGCGACCCTCCCTTCTTGGGGACATCCTTTATAACATCCTTTATAACAGGCCTAAGGGTATGCAAGACAAACCTGCAGGTCCTCAATTTACAGAACAAATATATGTCCCATGGCTTATCTCTGATACACAGCTCCTTATGTTGAAACATTCCAAGCTTTTAGACAAAGCTGCATGTCTTTAATCAATTACAAGCCAAAGAATCTTATAACCTACCTGTAAGCCCATCTATAACCTATAAGCCCCCCCACCCCCCGCTTCGAAATGGCCCACCTTTTTGGGCCAAACCGATGTACGCCTTCCACAAATTGATTTATGACTTTACCCATAACCCCTGTCTCCCTGAAATGTATAAAACCAAACTGTAAGCCAACCTCAGCGAGTCCACTGCTCAAGGCCTCTTGGGCGTGGCTCCCGGTCATGGTCCTCGAATTTGGCTCAGAGTAAATCTCTTTAAAATTATTTTACAGAGTTTGGTCTTTTTTCCGTTGAGAAACTCATACATAGAGAAGACCCACGGACATGGACAGACAGACTTCCTAAAGACCACTCAGCAAAACTTTTAATTCTGGAAAGTCAAGACTGTTCAAGATTCACAGGACGAGGAGAGAGAGATTAAGTCTGAGAAAGGGGCGAGGGTTCGCGGGTTTCCAGGCGAAGCTGTGCGCCAGCGAGGAAGGAAGCGGGTTGGGCAGCGCGGGGCGGGGCGGGGCGAGGGGCCGCCCGGCGGGGCTTGTGCAAGGCTGGGCAGGGCAGGGCGTGGGCGGCCCGGGGAGAGACTCCGGCCGCCCGCCCCGCGCTCACAGCTCCCCGCGCCGCTCCCAGACGCAGCCTCCCGTGCCTCGCTCAACTCCAGCATGGTAAGCCTCACTTTTTATTTTTCTCCCTCTTAAGTGAAAAGAAAAAAGCAACAGCTTACTTTGCACCAGGCTGTATCTTTGATGTGTGTGTGGATGTGGCGGGAGACAGAGCAGGAAATACAACCCTTGCGGGAGGGAGCTGTGGAAGAGAGGATAGAGAAGCCCTGAAATTATACCTGTAACAACCGCCTAGGGCTGCAGCGGAGGTTCTCTTGCTTGGCCAGTCAAGATAAGGGCTGGGACTGCGGAGAGGAAGTCCCCGGGCGGCCGCGGGCGGCTGGCTGTGCCTGTGCGCCGAAGCCACCCGCGGTTGGGGAGGCCCCTTCCCAGTTCCCGGGCCCCCGGAGGCGGCTCCCCTCTCAGCCTGGAATGCAACGGAGGGGGCGGCTTTCTTCGGTTATGCTTGAAGCCCCTCGTCTCTGGTCTCCCAGGAGGCAAAGGAAGCCTGGGACAAAAGCTGAAGACAGCGGGTTGGGATTCTGTGAGGCGTCACTAGTTATTTCTGAAGGCCAGAAAAGGCACTTTCGGCTGAGTCCCGGGGAAAATCAGAGTTTCAGTAAGCAACAGGCAAAGGGCCAAGGCACAAAGAGCCTGAAACCCGAGCGTGTAGCGGCGAGTGGAACCGCAGCCAAGAATGTGGGAGGAGCCGGGTCCCAGCCTAGCCCGGTTCCTTCTTCCTCTTCCTCTTAGCCCACCATCTTTTCGGGCACTCCCTCCAGGACCTTTCTCCCCTCAAGTCCTTTCTTCTCCACGTTGAACTCCCTGTCTTTTCCGTTAATCCACCTCCAAAATCTGTTTCTTTACCTCTCCTTAGTGAAGGGGGGGAAAGTCAGCAAACTTTGGCCGCGGGCCAAATCGGGTTTTCTGTTCTGCCCACAAGCTAAGAATGGCTTTTACATTTGTAAATGGTTGAAAGAAAATTAAAAAAAAAAAAATAATACCTTGTGACGTGTGAAAATTATATGACAACGGAACTTCAGCGTCCGTACATAACATTTTACTGGGACACCGCCACGCCCATTCACTTGTGTGTCGTCTGGGGTTGCAGTCCTGCTACTGCGCACGCAGGGTGACTGGAAAGGAAGGTGTTGGTTAAGAATCAGAACTGCAATACTTGAGTCTTTTTTTATTGTTACTTCTTTTTCATATTCTTTTTTTTTCTTCACATATTGAGTGCTAGGCTGCATTTTTAAAGTTATTTCACAGTATCTGTTTGTCGTTTTCTCCTTGCTATCAAGGTCCCCACCAGATAAAACTTCGAGGGTGCAGTGAGGTGCGGAGACCACTGGTTCTCCTGTCCTTCAGCCACTGTTCCACTTTGGGCAAAGCCTCGCCATCTCCAAAGTCCCCTGGAGCTCTACAAATTATGCAATTCCATTTTAGTAATTTGATAATTGTGTAATTGTGTTTCTTTCGCTTTGCAGAATTGCAGGGTAGTGTGGGGGGGGCGGAATGCAGAGGTTTTCATTTTCTCCGTGTGGCTGATAACAATAGCAACAGTTTTCAAAAGAAAATGATCATCTAAATTACATCAAGACTGATGTTAAGGAGAAAAAAAATGTAAAGCAGAGAGGCACTTTGGAACTGGAAAATCAAA